AGCCTACTATCTGTGTTTGGGCCTTAGCCAGACTCTTGAGTAAAAAAAGGGTGTGGAGTGTGTGTGATTCTCGCAGGAGGTAGCTCAGAACCATGGAGAGCTCTTTTGAATTCCTGTATGGGGAAAAATGGGCATCCTTGATTTTTTTCTTGTTACTGTTGCTAAAATTAGCCTGAGCTATTCAGAAATGAAGGAAGCTGAAGGGCTAGAAAAAGCCTGCACTGAAAGTAGGAACAAGAATGTAATACCTGTTATAAAAGAGTAGGTGTAAAAAGCCTAACTTGAGAGGGAAGGAATTGTGAGGTACTGCTGGAGAACGGCTAAACATAGGAGCCTCTGGCTACAATAGTCACATCCTTAATATAATGTGTTCACCACAAAGGAAAATACTGCTTTTCTCACAAATAATAAGTTTATACACAATTATTCTATGAAGTAAATGGCTGTGTGACTATGTAGGTTTGCTTAGGAAACAGTAAGAATAATAAAATTTTAGGTTTTTTCTACAAGTGCTTGACTTCCAGATTGATTCAAATAGTGATTTAAAATCCTGCATTTTATTACTTATTATCTGTCTGAAATACTTGAATGGGATTTCACTAGGATTACCTTTGAGAACATCTACAAATTTAGCTTTTAAGTATTTTGTTACTGTAAAGTATTAATATTGCTTTAATAATTACAGACTTTATATGGAAAATTAATTTTAAATCTTATTTTTAGAATGTTTAGATTCAAAAATAAGGTATTGTTCGGTAAAAAACACCTAGCTTGCTTTAATTGCTGTTAAAAAAAGTTATATATATCTGGGCACACAGACACAAAAATCCCAAAATCCCATCTTAAATATAAAAGAAAATAGCTCACTCATTAAATCTGATAGTTGCTAACACTCTCCATGGTTTGATGGCAAAGTTATGCATTGGTGATAGTTGTTACAAATAAAAATGGGAATTCTGATTAACAGTATAAACTTAAACTATTAAGTTTAAAAGGACATAAGAGAAGCTAAGCAAAAAACTAATAATTTCAAAGGTGTTTTAAACTCAGGAAGTTTTAAACTCACCTGTCATTTTTCCATAATAATGTGTCACACCAATTTTGAGAGGAAAAGGCATTGGCAGCATTATGTGAGGTTTTGACTTGCAACGTCACAGCTCTGTTTTATTCATAGCCTTACTATTGTGCAAAGTGCTTGGAGTTTTTCAATTCCTTCACTTTTAAATAAATGAATATCTTAGATCAGTGGTATGCTTGAGCCATGGTGATGATCACATGCAGAAAGCAATCAACTTCTGGTGCCATGGAGCTATACAAAAGCTGTAAACCAGAGTGAATTAGACATGAACCTATCTGCTAATGCAAGTAAATTGCTTCCCATACTTGAATTAACTCGTTAGGTGCCTTTTTTTGGTGCTTTTTAGTGTGTAAAGTTCTGTATCCCAAGTAAAAGAAAACTGGAGTGCCAAGGGAAATTTTTACAGGCTAAGATTTGAGTATTTTGGTGGATTGGAATTAAAGTTAAGGCAGATACTTCTTTATCATATGGCAATATTCCTATTTGCAATCTCCAGTAAAGATTTTCTTGCTCTAATAAAAGTACCGCATAAAACATTGTTCAATTTGAACTAGAAAATGGTGATACTTGAAAAACAAGTCTGATTATTTAGTTAATGATCCCATTTGACACTCTTTCCCTGATGTGGCCCACTCAAAACTGTATTCCAGCATTTCTGTCAAATCACTCAGTCTCCAAGCCTGCCATATATAAGAAGAAAGTCTTTTAGCTCAGTTCTGTGACGACTTTTTTTTTCCCCAGCATCTGAATGCCATATAGCCTTCACTATGCTTTGATTTTGCAAAACCTCCTGGTTGCAAATATCACTTCAGTTTTCTTATGGCTGCCAAGTGTCATGCATTTTTGCATAACTATTACAAACTCAGCAGCTCTCTCATCTGCCTGTTTTTCATCTTGATTTATAAACATCCAGCTGAGTTGTGAACAGACTGATGTTAAGTTTCCTGGTTATTAGATTTTTGCATGTTGCTTTGATGGCAGCCAAAAGAGGAAAGATCTTACCTCTGATCTTGCTTCTGATGTTTGCAGCTATTAAGGAATGACACAGGAAGCTAGTGGAAAATAAGAGAAAATGTAGTGGAGCGCTTCAGCAGAAACAAGAATGGAAAAGTCAAATATTACCTTAAGGTTGTCCATTGTTTTTTTTTCTCCTTTTCTGTTCCTTTCCCAAGGTATCCAGATTTTTCTACTGATAGGGAGCTGCACTTTCCCTGAGAAGAGGTCGTGTGTTTTGGTCCCAGATGAGCACTGAAACAGGAGTTTTGTTAAGTTCTGTTAAGAAAGGGGTGCAGCATTTATCTTTGTTAACTCTCAAATGACTAATGCAGGGCAGAAAGCGCTAGTCTGTTCAGCTTCTTGATTTAACTGCTGTTTATTTTTGAAAGCATTTTTGGTGCTTCAATTAAAAGGGAATGTGCAATTAAAAGGGAATCCATTACTTAATGAAATCATCTGTCTCAGTGGCTGTTTCCTTTATCTGTTTTTCACTTAGATGTTTAGAAAGTACTTTCTCCGACCTCGTGAGCCAAAGTTATCCAGGTGGAGCTCCTATTCCCCAAATTTTGTGTTAGTGTAAGAAACAATTCAATGTCAACAATTCTTTCTTTTTATAAGACACAAGTTATGTCCTTCTATAGTCTGTTTTTTTTACTTCATTGCTTCCAAAGATTTTCTTCCTGATTTTTCTTGGACTGAGGCTTCTGCAAGGATTATCAGTAGATTATTAACTTAATACTATGGAGGAAGATCATGCTTGATGTTAGAGATTTGAATTTTTATTCTTCATTGACTGTGGTTATATTAGAATAGGGTTGTATGGAGTCAATACAGTAAGTAAATGAGAAAAAAGAAATGTTTACTATCATGTGATTGTCCTGTTCATTTTCTGAGGCAATTTTTATTTTACAAAGACATTCCATTAGTTCAGATTAAATAAAGGTAACTTCTCACTTCACTGTGTTTCTGGTTAATGTATTATCTTAGGAATTAAAAAGGACTGTAAAACTGAAAACTGCTTCATCCATTGCTTATTAAGATGAGTCTGTATGTATAATTTCTTTGGAGGAGTGCATTGTTTCTACAATTGACTCTTTTATCTTTCTAAAAGAAGAATCACCAATAAGTTTTTGTCTGTTTGACAGAAAATCTTACATGTATTTGACAAGTACACTGCTCTTTTTCTTTCAAGGTACAATTCAGTCTTTTGTTCAAAATAAAATTGATTGTAAAAAAAGGGAGAAATTACTGTATCATTTTTGAAGTGTTCAAATGTAATCTGTTACAAGAATTATGAGCACTTATATTTATTACTGTATCTAATATGAAGGAGTGCTTATTATTTTCAAACTGTATTTGTTACTGTTGATGTACTGTTGATTCTTTTGTCTAGTTTAGAAAAGTCATTACTTCTGATTAGATTCTTAACTGCTGATAAACTCTTTCAAGGTCAATGTTCTATGTATAGCTTTAGCTTAAAAGCCCCCAAGTGCTGTGGGTATGGACTTCTCTGAGCCACTGCTGTTGAGATAACTGAGCCTTTAGGTGTTCATACAGCATAATTTTAAGGAATATTTGGTCTCTGATACTAAAAGTACCTAAATTGGTCTTTTGATTGTTTGTTTTTTATTTCTGACCAGAAGCTATGTATTTGAAGTAGGATTAGTACTTAACTCCATTGTGGTTTTTGTTATTGTGTGTGTGTGCTTTGGGTTTTTTTTCCTTCCAGTAGAAATAAGTTTAATAACTACAGGGGCATAGGACCTGAGTTGGCCATCATTTTTATGTGGTTCACCTTAGGCGTTCTCCACGTAATTAGCTCCTCAAAGGAAACCAAATGTTTTTTAATTGAAAATGTGCCAAGTTTTATTAGAATAACAGGATAATTAACACTTTAAGTATTGCAAACTCAGTGAATAGGAAAGAAAGAAGAAGGAAAAAAATTTTACAGTATTTTCTCCGCCCACATTGTCATTGTGAGTATACTGTTGCTTCTACTTGCTCACAATTAATTCAGTGCCTTTAAGCCTTGAACTGTATGAAGATAGCTTATCTTTCTTTGAAAGATAACAGGAATTTCCTTGAAATTTTGGAAGTTGTATTCTTTTGCTATGGAATACTTTTAAATAGCTGTTCAACTTATTTGTATTTTGTTTTCTCCAAATCTCCAGATCTGTGATTTCTCCAGTGATTATTCTTGTGACTTTTAAAATTTTGATTGAAAGAAAATTCTTTCCAAGGTTTTCTTAACATATTCATAATTGTTATAAATTATAAAAATACATAAATTATAAAATATATGAAATAATATATTAATATTCTTCTATTAATTTTATTAAAATTAAGGTTAATTTATCTTGAATTTTTTTTTTTTTCATTTCAAAGTTTTGCCTGGTATTTTGAACAGGGAGTAACACTTAGAGGTGGGGAAACAATTATTTGACAAAACTGCTAAATGGCTGAACTGCTGTAATTGATTATGCAGATTTATATCTTTCATTCAACATGTATAACATCTTTCAGCTGCAAATTTGATGGTATCTGTAAATATTAATGAATCAACTTCAAACATAATTTTGAAGTTGGCAAATATTAACAAGGGAAATTGGGGCCTGGTGAGACCGACTTGTAAAATTTACTCATTAAATCAATACAGAGCCTAAAATATTCTTTGATTTAATTCTTTGGTTCCTAGATCACATTGTATCTAATCGAGATATAATGAAAGATGGTAGTTAAAAATATTCTGATTGAGTGATTGATCTTCATGGATAATCCATGATTAGCTAAATAACAAGTAGAAAATGTGGTATTTTAAAAGAAAATATTAGGTTCTTTCTCACTGTTATGATAAAGAGTGAATCAAAAAGAAGTTGTTCTTACTGAATGTGAAATTAAAGGCACTTTCTTTTTTTCTTTCAAACAGTTACTAATTTCACTGACTGCTGGAATAGTGGAATTACTTGGTAACCTCTAACCTCCATGATGCAGTTGTGTTTATTTCCTGCTGTCACGGAGAGGGTAAGCCGTTCTTCACGTGTGTTATGAAGTTATGATTTTTTAAAATGCATTGCTGTTTATGTGACCAATAAAATACATTGTACATTTGAATGTTATGCCTTTTAAAATAATATTTTTTACACACCAAAATCTGTAAAACTTCTTTTATTTCATGGAATCAAATCATAGTTGGCTTTGGAAAGTTTCTTTGGGGATCTTCTAGTCCAACACCAGTGATCAGAGTAGGGTTTATTGGAGTGCACTGCTTGGGTCTTTGCTGAGCCTCCAGGGATGGGGACTTCACTGACACTTTTTGCTGCACTTTCACCTGTGTGACCATGTGATGTACTAAATACAAGGAATTTAATCCAATGTAACATGTTGTGAAAAATAAGCTATTGTGGGAACTTCTAATAATTTGTTTTTTAATCATGAAAAACTAATAACTAGAAATTGTCTTGCAGTTTTATTTTTCTAGATATTTTGAATCAATCTTTTCTACTTTATGATTTATCAAAATTTTTGCATCGAACATTCGTATTTATTATAACCACTTTTTTTTTTTTCAGTAATCATTTCCATTAACGTCTGATATTAATGTAAACTTAACTTCCTAAGTATGTGGTTTTGTGGAATTTTTTTGTTTGCTTTGGCTTAATTTTTTTTTCTTTTTTTCCTTAATGGTGGATATTTAGACTTGAGGATAAAAATCCAGAAATTACCTGGAGAATTTGTACCATTTTGAGCATCAAGGAGATAACATAAAGGAATATTGTAAAATAGAAATTAATATTAGAAATTCTTTTGGGTTGAAAGAGCTAAGACCTTGTTCAGTGCTTCAAAGATTATTATTCTTGATAACAGCTCAGGTATTTGTGGTGGTTAGGGATCACTGATGGAGGAGGAGGAGGAGGCTTACAGGAAATAATTGCATACATTCCTTAATTACTTTCCTACATGATTCTGATTGAACTTAGACTTGTGAGGGAAAATGTACTTATTATTCTCTCAGCTTCAGTTTTTCTGCTACACACCACGTTAAGAACTGGAAAAAAGCAGTAGCCACCTTGGTTTGGTGATTTCTGTCATGTCTTCACTGATCGTTGGTCATTTTTGGGAATTTATTGATGCTACTTTGGTTGCAAATGCAGCAACTCTTGAGCTGTTGATCATCTCTCAGTTTGTATTCTATGTGTGCTCATCCTTTTGATTTGTTTTGGTTGCATCCGTAAATATTGACTTCCTAAAAGAAGAATAAACTTGACACAAGATTAATAATTGGTCATTCTGAATATTTGCCTATTTATTCCTCTACCTTCCATTCTGAAGATGTTTTCATTTCAAATTTCTGCAAAGTTGTTTTCAGGTATAAAATGCTATGCAGTTAAATTGAAAATAGTTTCCATGCTGCTCATCTGAGCATTTTACATCAAATACACACTATAAGCTCTGAAAATAATACCAGAATCTTTCCCTGCATTCCTCTGCTTTGAATGTTTTTGTCTGTATTATAATATGTATTCTGCTAAAGCTGCTAAATGAATCTTCAGATGACTCTTCTCAAGTTGATAATCTTGCTTTTAGACTTGAGGTTTTAATTCCTCAAGTCCTAGCAATTTACCTTCTTCATAATCTCTGTAAGTATGAAAAATCATTGAGCTTCTACGTTCAGTGACAAAACCTCTTCAGCAAAATTTCAGGAAAGATAAATCACATTGTGTCTTTCTCCAGAGCTTTTTGTGATTAGTTAAGATTTTGTTTTCTCACCAAATGAGTGGGCCTGTAGCTTTTGCACAGGTAAGGAAGTCCCTCAGTACCATCTTTTCCTTCTCAAATATTTAATTTGAGGTAATCTGCAGATTGTATCAGATGCAGAGATTGTATTTATTCATGCACAATTATAAGGTACTATATGAAGAAAATATCAAATTGCTCAGAGCAATCTGTGCAGATATAAAATTAGACTTTTACAGAAAGAAACAATAGTAAAGAGGGAGTTGTGGATGTACAAGTAAATAGTGAGCAAGTCTAATGATTGTCAATTTATGGCCTCTGATACAGGCAAATAGAAGTCAAGAAAAAATAAGTAAATTTCTCCAATAATTAAGTATATATATGGAATACTACAAATTTTATGTCCTTGTTCCAGAAAAAAGAGAAAGTGGAGAGTTTTTATGGGGAGAAAAAATATAACTAAAACAGTGAGCTTGACTAGGAAACGAAATGAATTTCATTTTGGATACTTGTAGAATGCAAACATTAATACATGCTCTGTGAATGGGTTTCTGTTCTCTAGTTGAAGAAAACAATAGATATAATTTGTATGTTAATAAAGGTAATTAAAAAGTTATAGATGAATGAAATACTTCCAAATTGTTTCCAGTCACGATTCTAAAATGTTTGCAACTAAATGGGAAAAGGTCTCTTGGGATTGATATATATGAATGCTGGAATTAGAAATAATTACCAGTCCTGGCTTGATCACAATAGTGTGCAAAGCATGGGGGCAAATTTCAAAGAAAGTACAGTTAACAAAGTAGAGGTAGATAAAAATGGGAAATTAGATGAATGCTATATAGGTTTGTTATGAAAGATTTTTTGATCTGTTTTTTCTGGGTTTACTTGCTAACTGTTTCAATGCAGTCAATTTCCCAGTGAAACACAGTTGGGCAGATAATATCTATGTATCCCTTTCAGCATTTCTTGGCACATAGAAAGTTCTCTATTGACTGAGAGAGATTGTGGGTGAAAAATAGAATCATTTGTTCGGAAAGGAAGTAGCTGAAGGGATGAAGTGACAGAGACTTGTGCTGCTAGGAAGAGTATCAGTCTGGAGGAGAGATCCTATTGCTGCAGTGGATTACATGTGTTACTCATCTTGGACTTTTGCAGTAGTGACAATGTCACAAAAATATAATAGCTCATAATGAAATATAGGTCACAAAATAGAGGAGGGTTCTGAAAAATGTACAAGAATTTTTTACTTGGGATACTGGAGAGGTAGAATGGGATAAAGTGTAATAACATACAGTTAAAAGGATGAAAAAATACAAATTTCTGTATATAAGACAGAAGCTTATAAATTTGAAGAGAGATAGATGCAAAAAGGTTTGAATGTATTACGTCCTTGTAAAATGGTTGCTGACTGCCAGAGCAATGCAGCCATGAAAAGAGAAATCCTGTTTTGGGATACATCACAGTAGGCAGGTCCAAGAGAGAAAAACAAGTATTTGGTTCATGCGAGACACCAGCACTGCCTTGTGTTACGTGCAGAATTCTGACTGAATTACTGTGTAAGTCTTCATAAAGAATGCATTGCATACACCGTGAATAATATTTGTAAGGTTTGCTTATTTTTATCAAACACTACAGAAGGATTTACTTGTTACTTTTGTCCTTTGATCCTTAGTTTTATTTTAATATCCTAAAAGGATTATTTCCGTAGGCTCCAATCCTTTGTCAGAGGCTGTGCAATCACATTATTCTTAAATAGGAACTGAAATCAGAAAGTTGGTTTTAATTTTCATTTTTATGAGAGCACAACAGGCTAACATTACTTAGAGTAGAATGCTTTCCTAAGAAGGTAATTTTTGTTAGTGTAATCTTAAAAATACAAAATCTTAAAAATACTAATTCAAGTTTACTTTTGAGGGAAACTGAGAATGTTGTGAGAGTTCAATCTAAGTTGTATGTTGGGTGTAACATGCTTTTTGAGTGTTTCACATTTAGTGATAAGTCACTGTGATAACTCTTAGAGTGGAATGAATTTCATGTTTCGTACATTGTACAATTTTAGGTGATGTACATGGCTTAAATACAGTGCTTTGTATGCTAGCTATAGTGATGTGTGTGCTTTACTTCATGAGTTGTTTTCTGCTTTTCAGCTTACATAAGGTACACTTTTTTTTGAGTGAATCTAGGCCAGTAGGTGGTTCAGCCAAAAGTAGACTTGCTTAGTTTCCTTTGAATTTAATCTAAAATAATTTTAAACTGTACATTGCCAAGAAAAATCATAATGCTATTCTAGGGCTGTAATTCTGTAGGAAGCAAAAATACACAAGGAGAAAATACACACAGCGTCACTGAATTTACTATTGAAAGCATATTTGGAATAGTACATTAAAAAGAACCTTATTTAAGTCATAAAAAACCTTCCATTTGAAATTATATAGTATTGGGCTACTCAATTTTCTAATTCTTAAGTACCTTTTAAAGCTTTAAAATAACTTGAAGGCTTTATGGGAGGAAGATGAAGAAAGGCACTATGGTGTGGAGTTTTTTTTGTTGTTTGTTTTTGGTTTGTTGGGTTTTTTTTATTACTAATTTTTGCTGTAGCAAAATAACTTTGACATGGATGCACATTATTTCTCATTAAGATATTGGTACTATGCTTCAGTCTCTTTTTCTAGTTATCAATTTAATCAAGTTTCTTCCGTGTTTCATTTAGTCATTTTCACTTAGTCATTCAGTGCATTCCATTGCATTGAAGCAATGTTGTTTTTTAACCAAATTTTTCCTGTTAATTTAGCAACAAAACATTTTCACATTCTTACAATTGGTTGTGGCTTACATGTGTAGTATGCACAATTTGATTTCCCAATTAAGGCTTGAAGCAGACACTTATTTTTAGGTAAATGTTCTGTCTCCTCTACATGGAGTCTAAATAAGTTTGTGACACTAACCACATTTTCTGTGCTATGCACTTACAATAAATAAATTTTAACTTGAGTTCCTTTCTCACAGTGTTATTTTTCATTCAACTGATGCATTGAACATTATGTATTCCCAATGATTTATGGTAGCCACTACTTACCAGACCTATTTTGTTTCATTAGATAATGCTGCACATTTTATAGTGACTGTTTATAATAGACCTACAAGATTAAAGTAAACCTGAAGAATAGCTTACTGTATGTGATACTTTCAACTTAGCATTTGCTTTTAATGTTAGTTCATTCTTATTCTACGAAACTTTTTCCTGATATTGGTTTGATGTCTTTAGTAGCTGAAGTAACAAGTCAATTTGTAAGGAATGATAGAGGACTCCTACACTTAAAAACAAAAAGCATTCATTTTAATCAACATCAATGTGCTGTTTATTTCTCATTATATTGAGAAAATTTTATAGATGCCTGTAGCCATTTCATCTTCTCTCTTAGAGAACCAGGAGACCTTTTAAATTTGTATATTGAAGATTTTACACTGTTAATGTCATACCAAATTGCTTTATTTCATGGCAGCTAAAAATTGTGTCTTTACAAGCATACATTCAGGAATGACTGAAGGTTATCGATTTCTCTGTGGCATCTGCAGTCCCACCACACTGATGCTGTGGCATTAAAGCTGGCTTTGATTTACTGTACTGATGTCAGCTGCTTCTTGGACTGAGCTTTGCCTTTCCATCCATGTCTAGCACCTGTGACTGGGATTTCTGTGGCTGGTAGCTGGGCTCTTATATGTGGAAGATGATTTACCTGAGGGATCAGGTTGAAAAACCCTCCTAACTGTGTGTAGTGATGAAATTTGTAAAGAAAATTAGCTTGAAAGATTGCTTTAGAGCTGCTGGGGAGAATAGAGGTATAAATACATCCTTTTTCACTCCATATATCTAGGATTAGCCTTTTGAAAGAGATAAGAGATATTTTTTTACATTATTTTAGAGAGTAACATTGCAAGAATGTAGTCAACCATTCTCAGGATCCCCTAGAAAGGAAACAAGAACTAATCTAAACTTGAAGGGAAAAAAAATTAGCTAATTGCCAATACACTATGTTTTGATGTACTTATGCCCTGGAAAATGCAAGGGTATGGGTAAATCTAATCAAATGTAAGACAAGAAATCATGGTAAATCTCAGGAGATAACTAACTACTAAATTAAAATTCATGGCTTTCTCTGGTAAAATAAAAGTCATGTAATATTCTTAGATAAAGGACCTTCACTATATAATTACAACATAAATTTATAATAGCAGTAGCAACTGCTATTAAGATATTTTTCTCTCTCCTGCTTAATAAAATATATTCATTGGTACTGCTCTGCCCCACCTTTTAGGTTAGGTGGACTTTTATTTACGTACTCAGTGTCAGATGGTGTTAATAACCATGTCATGATCCGTGACAGGTTTGAATTGCTGCGTTTGTGGGCTGCTGCTGTGGTTTTTTTTCTAACTCAAGGCTCATACTTTCAGTCTTGGCAGTCTTGAACTTAGTTTACAGTATGAAATCTCATAAACAGCTGTAGAAAGTTAAACAAGTATAAATATTGACATTACATCTTGACTTTCATTCAGGCAGATAGCTGTGGCATATGTCTGCATGTGGAGATCTTTCAGAAACCTGAGACAAGCCATAAAAATCGAACAATTTTAAAAATGTGATAATTTTTCCTTTAATTTGATTTATCTAAAGATCTTGTGTGAACTTTGAAATAATGAATCACAGAATGATAGAATGGTTTGGTTGGAAGGAACCTTAAAGATCATCTAGTTCCAAATTCTGTGCCATGAGCAGGGATGCCACTCACTCGATCAGGTGGCTCAAAGTCCCATCCAGCCTGGCTTCAAACTCTTCCAGGAATGGAGCAGCCAAGGATGCTGGATGTCTCATCCCTGGAATGTCAAATACCTTGACAAAATGTCAAATACATTGGCATTTTGCATTCCCAGAAGAGTGTGAAATAAAATAATTAATGTGAAAGCCACATTACAGTACAAAGTTGATAGTTAAGTGTTGTTGGAACTCATGTATAATTAGACACGCCACATTTGAGATACAGGCTTTTAATGTTTTTTCCAGAATGTTCTTCCTATTTGTTCAGCTAGTTTGGCATCTGTATTTTATATTTAACTCTACTGTGACCTAACTTATGAAAAGAATAATGACATGTTCAGAGATTGATAGAAATTGATAGAAATATGAAAGTTTAGAATTAAAAATTGATATAATTTAGAAATTTAAAACCTGTGAGAACTTTGTTGCGTTTAGCCCAATGTTGAACTGACATTTTATAGAATTACCAATCCCAGCTAAAGCCCATTCCTAATGGGCCTCAAACATCATCTCTACACACTGCAGAACTGATTTTTTCCCTCATTAAACATCTTGATGATCTCCAGTTCATTGCTATCAGATTTTTCACCTTCTGTTTCATCTTGTTTTCCAAACACTTATGAATATGTCAAGCTGTATGAAGGCTGCCATGGGTACAAAGAGGCTCTTGCTCACTCTTTCCACTTAAAGTGATTCTCTGGTCTTACTGTACATTTTTTATCTTCTAATGGGGTGGGGACTCACATGACAATCTTCCTTCTTCCATCCAGCTTAGGTTTTTTGGAACATTTTGGGGACCTTGTTGAATGGCATTTGAAAATCCACATTGACTTAATCAATTATGCAACAATTAGGACTGGTTCTGTCCTACCTATGTGTTTGTTTACATCTTCAAAAGAACTTTTATAAATTTACAGGGCACAATTTGTCTTTCTAAAAGTAATGTTAGTACTGTTTTACTTTGATTACTTTCATCCTTATGTCTGCAGATTTATTTAATCTTATTATTTCTGCCAGTTTGGCTGACAAGAATATATTTTTTTCTGGCCTGTAATTGCAGGGTTCCCTGCTGTCACCTTTAGAAATAATTCAGTTTACTTTTTAAATTTTCCATTCCTTTGCTGCAAAGTTGTTATAACTAAGAGGTTGCATAATTAAATTAATAATTAATTATCTGTTGATAATTAAACTATTGCATTCCTTAACTTCTTTAGAACTGTTGGAAGAATACTGTCTGTTCCTGATGACTCGTTATATCAATTTTGTGGATTATTGATTGTCTGATCTACTAACACTGGTGTTTGAGACAGACCAACGTCACCTCTGATAAAGAAGATACATGATTTGTGAGTCTTCTTAAGCTCATGTTTTATGAAGAACAGATTGAAAATGAAGTTAATATTTTGCTTGCAAAGTACTCTATAAACAAATGTGTCCCATCATACTAGTCATAAGTGGATTTTTTTTTTTGCTTCTTTTAAACATATACAAACTACCCCTCTTCTCAAGATAACTAGAGAAATTTTTCAGCATTTCGAGTGCTGTTGAAAACACTAAGCATTTTCAAGGTTAGAGTTATTGTATCTGGAAGTGTGTGCTCCAGGCATATTTCCATAACTGGGTGAGTTTGGAAGTTATTGCAATTTGGGAAGATTTTGCTCTAGACTTTAAATTAGCTGGAACAGAATAAATTAACTAAATGAAATTAAAAAGAAGTTAGGGTGAAAGAAGGATCAAAAAGAAAAGAATAATTTGAGGGAAGGTAGATATGGATGGTATCTCAGAGGAAATACAGTGGATGTAGACATTTGAGAATTCAGAAAATGGGTTACTTTGAAAATTGAGTCAGAATGGCATATATGTGCCCTTTAAAAAAGGTAGAAATGTTACATTGCTGAGAAAGAGGAAGAGAGGGGAGAAGCACTTAAAGAAGACTCTGGACATGCTGTCAGTTAAAATTTGATCTAGATAGATGAGGAAATTTTTCCCTAATCAAATGATATTTTGCCAAGTAGAATATGAGCTGAGGTGATTTTGCTTTTTTTAAAATGGCATGGAGGTTTTATTTGTGAGAGAAGGTATTATTACCCTTGAAGCATTTTCTGCTTTTTTTTTTTTAAATAGTCTTAATAATAACCTGTCAAAATAGCTTTGATAGTTTTCAAACAGCAGAGAAGTGTTTCTAAAGTCATGCCTGATTTTTAAATACTTGCAAATTGCAGAATAGACTAAATGTTAAAATGGCTATAACTCATTTATTAGAGTGGCAGTCATGATAAAAATGGAGAAGAAAGTTAGTAAAAGATTTATAATTAAATAAGAGTTATTTGTTGATAGTAAAGAAAAATGTCAAGTTTATCACAGAGTGACTTTTAAACTATTTTAAACTATTTTAATGTCATGAAATGGTAAACATTTCTCTTATAAAAAGCAGCATTTCCTCTGGCCATTTCAAAGCCAAGATTAATTGCATATTCTTTGTAATTCATTTGTGAATTCAGCATAATGTTCTGTGGAAAGTTAAAAGCTTTTTTCTTTGTCTCTGTGACAGAAAGTGGTAACATTGACTATTTTCATTCTTGAATGCTAATGACAATGCATTTAGCTCAATAGCAGTCCACTATATTTTTACATATCAGAATTATAATTTCAGATTTATTTTTATTTTTCCAACAGAATATAAATGAAGAATGATGCAATATTCTTTGTATGTACAGCCTTATAAGAATCTTATTTAAGGAGTTGCAGTAAGACAAACACTGAAAAGAACTTTTCCCTGGTACAATGTGTTGAAGCAGAGGAACTGGAATTGCCCACCTTTGTACAAGCTAAGAAAATGTTTGCTATTTTGTGAGTGGAAGCAGCTCTGGAGTGAATTGAACTTCTGAAAATGCGGCCATGGACTGGTTCCTGGCGTTGGATTATGCTCATCCTCTTTGCTTGGGGAACTTTACTCTTTTATATTGGTGGGCACCTGGTACGAGACAGCGAGCACCCAGATCATTCCAGTCGGGAATTATCCAAGATCCTTGCTAAACTTGAACGGTTAAAGCAGCAGAATGAGGACTTAAGGCGCATGGCAGAATCTCTCAGGTAGGATCTCAAAGTAATTAAAACTGTTCAGAAAATGTTTGAAATATGAAATATCAGAATTTAAATTGTAAGGGTTCTTTTTGGGAGTTTTTGCAAAATTATATTTATCATTTAAAAGTGTATGTAAGTATTTCAATCTGTGCTGTAAGTAGCTGAAAATATATTGCAAAACTTTTAAATCAATAATGTGTATTTAGCTCTGGTCTGATGTAATCATTACTTAGGAGTCATTTAATGGTGTGGAAGTGTTGCTGTCACAATAACAGAGTTCTGTAGGTGGTTCACCTCTCAATGCCAACTTCAAACAAGTGCAGTTATTATGACATTCATACAAATTAGAACATCTAGTTCTTTATACTTTTGCATGCAGTAATTGGAAGAGCTCATTTTAAAATTGCTGTAAACATTTGTACAGCTTGTTGAGGATAAATGCTGATTTGCTGAAGATGATCTGCAATAGATTGCTGCATTATACAAATTCTTTTATCTTAAGTTTTCTTCCTTGCCTTGCTGCTAGACTTGTAGAAATACTTGTAAAACAGTAGGGTCATTTCTTTTTTTACAATTATACAGTCACTGAAATATAACCCATTCAAATTACACAGTGACTAGAAGAGAGTAAATGATTTTACTGGTGGCAGGGTACTGTTTGCCTATCAAGAAGGAGGTAGTAGAAATGCTAGGAGATGCTAAGTGTAAGGAGAGGCTAACTATATTTTAGGCAGTGATAATTTTTCTAAATACCTTTCTATATTTCACTAACCTTATCTATATTCAGATAAATATTACATTTTTAATGGGCAAGTTTTTAAATAATAGCTTATACTGTTGATAATTTCCTACTATTAAAAAAAAAAAGAAAAACTGTATTTCAGCATTCCTTCTCTATGATTCCATTAATGGTGTCAGGATGCTGGAATTAGATGCAAAACTGTGTTGACTGGACTCCGTTCAGCTCTTTTGTAAATATGTTATTTAACAATATTTCTGAGACCTTTCCTCGGAGTGTTTGTATATCATAACCACAGGAGAATCTGAAATTTTAGCATGAGAAAGCCCAAATGACTTTAAATACCAGTTGAACAGCCACACATGTCCAGGTTCAGTAGTCAGTTCTTTCCAGGAATGAGCCAGCTTGAGACTGGAAGATCATCAGGCATAGTTTTTTGTGGAAGTAATCTGAGATTGGTGAAATACTGGACTTCGAGGGAAATGATGCATGAAATATAGGGCCTTTTCATGATTTTTACTCTGCCAAATCCATGGTACTGTTTACATAGAAACGTCACAAATAGTATTTAGAAGTATCCTGGTCAACCTGTGTTATTAAAGTATTGAATCATAATGTGGTACAGGATTTCAGTATCTCATTTCTTTGTTTGCCAGATAAAATAAAGCTGTGTTGAAAATAGCTGCTGGCTTTAAAACTGTCCCATTTATAGTTTTGTAGCAGAGTGTCTCCAGCAGCCCATGGATTGAGTATCTGTGTCCTGGAAGAGATCGCTGCTGCTGTGAGCATACATTATGGAAACAAAAGAACTCTTAACTTCAGAAATCCCATTAGAGGGAAAAGATTACTTTTGCTCCAGTTTATATCTTAAAGTAAAGATATAATTTATTTTAGGCTTTACTGATCAAAGACAGAAAGACTGGAACAATTATATGAATATGATTTAATTGCTAGAATTTTTTGTTTTGTACTGAAAACTCTGATAGTGGCAGTTAAATCTGACTGGGTAAGAAAACACTCTCTACATCAGTACAGGTAATAAAGGGCGTGAGGTAAAAACTTGGTTTTGCTGCCCTTTTCCACTAAGAATTTTTATCTAGAGGATGAAACAGTATATGTTTTGTGGTTAAAACATAGAATATATTATGGTGTGCAACAGGGCTAAGATAATGCCTAAAAAAAGTTAGGAATATTTAATATAAGACCTTAAAGTTACTTGTGGAGGAGTTTATACAAAATGAGAGTGCCTACCTGTAAAATTGGAACAACATCTAGTAACTATACTAGTTAAAGTATTTTGGCACTATTAGATAAAACTTCTGCATGGTAAAAAGCTCCAAGTTAACAGAATTTACTTTAGTGAGCAAAGAAGTTTTGTGAATGTTAGAAAATTCATAATGAATAGTTGTGATATTACTAATGGCTAGTTATGGCAGGCAGGAAGGGGCAAAAGGCAGGTATGGTTACAAGAATTAATAGTTTAATAAAAGTGTAAGTTTTTTAATTTCCATTTTGAAGTTAGAGAAAATGGGTATTTCGTCTTTAATTGTCAGTTAAAATGGTAAAATGCATTTCAGGGCATTTCCATTGCTTGGGCTTTCCCATTATAATGGGTTCCTGTGACTCCTCTGACTCCCTTACCACCTGATAAAAGTGTCAGTCTTTGGGGATGGTTGAGAACAGGAGCTGGACTGTGCTTGTTTCCATCTATCTCTCTATGAAAGCCAACATACAATGAAAAGAAGTGATCTTTCCACCCTGAGATTTGATTCCTCTTTTGCTGCCAATTCATGTAGCAGCTCCTCATCCCCAAAGACAACAACAAAAAAGGAAACCAAAAAGGTCCCTTGTGAAACATACCTTATGTGCATACAAAACCAACCATTCAAAACTTGACGAAGATCATATCTGTGAAAAGGCTTTATAAAATTTTGCTTAACCCTTTTTTGCTCTGTGATTCTTAAATAACATTGATTTTGTAATTTTCTCCTGCTTGCTTCATTTCACACAAGATGTACAAGGGGTAGAATTAGGGTTTTAAGGGCAAGGATAGGTACTTGTTTGGGTTATTCTGGTTTATTTCCCACCCACTGCAACCATTTGTATTTGAATGCTAGATTTTAAAAAATATGTCCTTAAGAATTTATGATTTTTAAAATATAAATTTTTAATTTATTACCCATATTGGTTAAGAGTAGTTCATATTTTTGCAAGGATTTTTGGTGAGTGTATTTTTTCTCTATTTTCTAAGATATACCTTTGCAAGAGTGAAAATTGGAGCAGTCACATCTTTTTGAAAATGGCCTGAAATAAAAATATTCCTTTGGGAACTGAGTACACTTTTGTGGTGCACTTCTGATTACTTGAAATTACATCAGGTACCACATACTACATAGTTTTTATGGTGTATTTAAAAGGCCTTTGGTGAGGAGTTACCATAGTTTTTCTTTTGCCAATATGATGCTTTGTAAAAGCCTTCCTTGTGGGTTAGAAAGAGGCACAGATGTATATTAATGATGCAGAAGATAAATGGAATTAAAGGTGTTTTGTATTTCCTGAGTTTTAGAAATTATGAGCATGAATATTGTAGTATAGTGAGTTTGGAGTGTTACCGCAGTATGTATGTGATTATAAACAATATTGTGTGAGCAGATCTGGGTTGATTTTAGAAGCAGTCTTGATTTCATTAGTGCAAAATAGTAATAAATCTGAGTTTTTTATAGGTTGTTGTTTTACTATTCTATATCTAGTAGACCTGGAAGAGCCCTTTCAAGGACATTTATTACAGATGTAGGTGTGACAGCAAAACTAGAAATCTTTACTATAATTTTTGTAGTTATTTAAAGGAAACTTGAGAGGAAGTATAAAATCAGTAGTTTTACCTAAAAGTTTAACTTACCACTAGGATCGTGATATGACTGCTAAACACTATCCCTGTTGTGTTTAGATGATACAAGGCTTTTAGGAATAAGAGAGTTGAAAATTACAACTTTTGTAATGTCCCATTTTCTTGGATGGAAACTGTGAAGCTGTTCCTTCAGCTGTGCCTTCATCCTTGTCCTCAGCTTTCTTTATTTTTGCAATACATGAATGCTCCATAGTATTCATGTACTTCTTTGTGTATTACTGGGTGGTAGTCAATTCTTTATATTTTAGGGTATTTTGATGGAAGATAAACCTGGCAGTTTAGGAACCAGTAATTTCAGAGTTCTCCTCAGGGAAATAGAGAATCTTGTTAAATGGATTCACACTGTGTTCATGTTATGAATACATCACATTTGGACTACATTTGCTTCCTAGAGTCTTTTAAATATTGCATTTTGTGGAACATGCAATTCTTTTAATAAGTATGATAACCTGTTTCTTACTCTGAATTAGGAGCGTGTGTTATAAAGCATAACAGAGGTGGAAAAGGGCAAAATGTCATCAAGCACATAAAACCAAACACCATTATCTCTGCACATTATTCTTATAGTTCTGAGTGTAGCTTCAGAAAGAAGAGATCAGATTTTAATTTTGAAAAAGTACTAGAGTTGCTTTAATGTTGCTGGTGCTGAGGCTGGTGGAGAATCCAAGCTCAAGATCAGTTAATCATAAACAACTCTATTAAAGTACTTCTATCGATTACTCTGGACAGTTTTTTTGTCTATTAAACCTGTAGAAAGCATTAAAGGGGCTTGGATTGAAGAATAGCTTTGGGTTGATAAAAATTTAAATACTAAAGTACACTTTTCTACTACATTTATTTAAAATATCTCAAGTTTGAAGCTGAGGGTATTGCACAGGCTAATGTTGGAAGAATGAAGATAATTGAACTAAATGGTGGGCACCTCTGCTCTTTTTGCTGTTCTCTGTGCAATTCTGAGTTAAGGGAAGGAAGATGTACAGTGGATATAAATCAGTGCTGATCAGGGCCGTGCTGATCTAAATTGATACAGGATGCTTGCTCTTTATTTGCAGATAACATTGACTCTTTTCTTTCATTTTTATTTACTGAGGAGGTTTTATCTAAGAAGGATGAAGTGACAGCCTGTGTTCTTTTTGTTTGTGTGTGCTAGTGTTCATTAATAATTGAACATGATTTTCTTCTCGGGGAAGAGGAAAAAGTGAAAGAAGAAAAGTCAATTGTGATGTGGCTTTAGTTAGTTATAAACCTTCTAGCTCCATAGAAAGAACCTGGATATAAATGAAAGAATGAGAAAGTACTTGAGTGTGAACTTGTGAAATCTTACATTTTTCCTTTTGCTGATAAATTAGTGTAACCTTTTAGATATCTTGGAAATAGGAAAAGGTTAGAATAGTTTTTATAATTTATGGAGTTTTAAAAACTATTTTTACAATTATTTTACACAGTATGGCAGTTCTTCTAGCTAAATTGAATGTCACTATGATTAATTTTAAGGGGTTCTTTTTGCCTTCAGAGGTCCAGACTAGAGATCACTGCTTTGTCATTGCCCCTCTGTCACCTGAAGGTGATGAGAAAGTGGCTTCAGTCATATGGATTATGTACACAGAATTATTTTTTTTAATCTAGATTACTAACAAGGGACAAAGAAGAAACAGATTATCCCTACAACATAATCTTTTTGATGCTTAAAATTATACAGTAGTATCTTTATTTGATGAGTTGATTATGGAAAAGATAATTTATATTTGCTGTCAGATGGTAGGAAGCAGCATGCAAACATCACACCTCGTAACTATTGAGAATTGAAATAAACCCACTCCTTGGTTTATTAGCTTGACTGACCATTTAAGTGGATTATAATGGTGTTTATTTTGTGTTCATAACTTAATTTACAGTTTTACCATAGTAATAAGTGAAAGATACTCTGTACTAGATGCTTACTGTTTTTTCTACTGCTTAGAATCATCTTAGTTTAGATGAACTTACTTTAAACTCACTTCTCATATTTTAAGGAGTAAAATAGGTGTCAAGACTTTGGTAAAAATTTTTTTGGTAAGAATTCCTGTTTTTCAATAGAGATTTTTATTCATAAGTATGCATAATTACTAGGATATCCTGCACTAGAAGTTACCTACATACAGGATGCCATAAGACTAGACAAGGATTTTAATTCAAACACTTTTCCTTCAGATGTTGTCATATCTCCAGCTCATTTGAAGTACTAGTAGAGGGTAATAACAGCCAAGCTGTGCTGGTTGCAGAGAAAAATATTTTCCTTAATTTTGAGGTGGGATGAAAGTGAGGAAGACAGTAATTCCAATTCTGATGAGGGAACAGGTGTAGAGACACAACTGAAAAAAGAATAAGATATCTTAGTTTCATCCTAAGAAGATGTGATTTTTGGAAGGCCAAGAAACTAGCTTAGAGAATATCCCCCCATCCCAGCTCTTTTATCTAACAGTCTAAGTATAATAAATTTTTTTATTGCAGTGTGACAAAGGAAGATGAATCTTAAATGGCAAAATGGTACTTTTCTTTTTAAGATCTAATTGTATCAAATGATCAACATTACTGTGCTTCTTTGATATCATCCACAACCTTCCTTCTGTAGGAGTCTCTAATTGCTACTTTACAGACTTTCCTTATGCTAAGAGGATGTGTGCACTGCCTCAAGACTTCTTATGGTAATGATTTTCTACCCTTTCACCCTATTGTTCTTCACAGATTCTACCTTTAGGGTGTGTAACTTGTACAAAATAAACTGTTTCATTTTTTTCTGGTAATTTTGTGGTTAGTTTTTCCTTCACAACTCAAATTGTGGTACCAAGTTGGCAGATCACGAACACATTTCCATCTGGTGGTTTTAAATTACTGTAAGAACATAATTGACTTTCAATATACTTTTTAAAGGACTATTTGTATTGTCCTGGACATGGCAATACAATACTGTATCTCAGTAGGATATAATGCAGTACATTTATTGTAGATACAAATTTACAAATAGATTGTTGAAACAGAGCATATTTAGGGAGTGCACATGTTTAAGATTAGGATATTTTACACAGTTCTGACATACTTGTTCCCTCAGTTCATGAAAAAGCAGATGTACGAGCAGTTAATGATAATTTCTTTTTGTTTACAATAGTAGTTTTAGAACACAAATATTTTTTCAGTAATTTGATTATCCCTAGTAGGATAGGGGTAGGATAGCTTTCAATAGGAAGCTTTAAGACTGCAGAATTTTTTACTAAATCTCTGTCAGGCTATGTAGCTGCTTCTTCTTCCAGCTCTCCTACCCCCTTTTGAAAAAAAGGTGCTTAAATACTATTCTTCACGTGATGCACCTTTCCGTTGCTCACATAAGGTATTTGTTCTCTTCAGCTGTTCCAGGAAAAATGAACTTTTTATCAGTTCCTGAAATTTTATTGGAATTTAGTTATCCAGACCTGAGAGACATTAAAGTTAATAACATCTCAGTAGGATATTTAGAATGCTGTCATTTCTTTTTTTCAGGGAAGGTGCTCCCTCAAACCACTGTTTTCTCCATGCTGGGGGCATCTTTTGTCTGTCAAGGACACTTCCTGTGTACAGTGCTGTGAAGCTCTGTGTGTTTGTGTGGAGAGAATATCTGTTCTTTTTGTGCTCATATTCCTTTATGAAGGAAGAATCATCTTCATGTTCTGCAAAAATTCTGTATTCTTTGCAACTCTAAAGGCTTCTCATTGCACCTCTGCTTGTTCTTTTTCTTTCTAGGGTCAGCTCTTACAAAAGCTTATAAAATGGGGAATGATTTTTAACCAATTTCTCTTGAAGTGAAAATGGTTTTTATTTTCCCTGCATTAAATTTGTAAGGCAAAAAGAACTTAGAATCTAATTTTTAAACTTTAATAATTTTGTTTCATTAGTATGTGGATTCAAGTTGAGATGATGAACAATCTCAACTATGAAACAGCTCACAGATTTCAGATATGTATTTCCATACTTCTCCTGTGCTCACATATCAGAAATTTAATAGATGGATGTTAGAATTGCTGCTGTTTTTTTATGTGATCTATCCTTTAGAATACTAGAGTTTTCGTAAAAAATCATGATAGTGGTACATTTAAGAAGATTGGATCTTGTTCTCAGTCCAGACAGTACATTGAAATCATCCTGTGTGGATGTGTAGGAAGACTTAACTGGAGATGGAGTGCTGGAGCCCTGGCTCCCTAAGAACACATGGCCAGGGTTCAAGAGCAGAATGGCTTTGTGTGCCAGCCAGGTTAACAATTAAACTGCCACAGATGCTATTTTCACCAGCAGAGCCTTGGATTGTTCTTGTTGGTGAGTGGAATTCTTGTAAACAACACAGTTTAGGATCAGGCTGAATCGTACCTTGCAGTGGTGTTGTGCACTGTTTTTCTTCTATGGAACTGTGCTTTTAAAATCTTATCCATATGTTTAATTTCTTCTGGTTTTAAGGAAATCTGATGAAAGTTTATCCGTAAAACAGTATGAAATAAAAATGAGAGGAGAGCTGAATTGCTAAAGCAAATAATTTATCAAATAATTATATTTATTAATAATGCAATTTCTTTATTTTCTGTATCCTAGGATACCAGATGGTCCCGTTGATCAGGGACCAGCTGCAGGAAAGGTACATGCTTTAGAGGAGCAACTTCTAAAGGCCAAAGAACAGATAGAAAACTATAAGAAGCGGACCGGAGATGGTTGGTAGATAAGTTTTATTTTACTTCTAAATCAAGTTTTGGTGTTTTGGTATTTCATGTCACAGATGTATTGGCTTCTTAACAAGTAATTGAGCTACACATACTGATACTTTTATGCCTTTTTTTATTTTTTTTTTTAAGTAGAAGGCCTTGGAAAAGACCATGAAGTACTGAGAAGGAGGATTGAAAATGGGGCTAAGGAACTTTGGTTTTTCCTCCAGAGTGAACTGAAGAAGTTGAAAAATCTAGAAGGAAATGAACTGCAAACACGCATTGATGAATTTCTGTCTGATTTGGGTCATCAGGAAAGGTTGGTTCTGACCTTTAATTTAACTGTCATTTTGTTGTTCAAAGATGTGTGGCAATTATATTTTTCATTGCTGTCAATCATCAGGCCTCTTTATTGTAGGGAGTACCTTTTGTATTATATTAAAATATTCTGTATGAGTTTTGTTCATGCTGAAAAAAATAAATCCAGGAACTGTTAAAAAATCATTGACATCTGTCTTTAAACATAACTCTGTTCCCAACAGGAAACTGCAATGACAGTTTGTGACTCATCAGTAAACAGTTGTACAAAAATAGTTGAATTAACTAAATATACTACCTTAAATCAATGCCCTGAAAAAAGCTGTGATTTCCATGTGTGAAAATCAGTAATAAGGCAAGAGCCTTTGAAAATAACAATATAGTAAAGGGAAAAAAATCATAAGAATTTTCAATTCCTTAGCAATAATGCAAACGCTATTTAAAACATAAAGACAATATGAACTTGATTATTAATATGGGAAAATAGTATAGTCCATTAAATTTTGTAATTTATTATTCCACAATTCCAAAATCCATTTTGTCACAGATTGATTGAGTTGAAAGTGAGAAGGGACTATTCAATTATTGAGGGTTATTATTTATATAAAAGACATGATTAAATTTCATCCAATTAGTTCTCTGCCAAGTGCAGTTTTATATATTTGACTGAAATGAAAGTAGTGCTTGGCTGAAGCAGAATTTTCCAGAAGGCTTGAGATCTTCACTTGAACAGTGAACTGACAGAGAAGCTGCCTCTTCCCTGGACAATTTGTTTCAATATTTATCTCCTCTCAGAAATATTTCTTCTCCATAGAAGTTATTTCCATCTGGGCTTCTTGAACTTTAGATTATGGATTCTTTTGTGCCTTTTAGACTATCTCTGCTAAAGACTGGAACAAGTAGTCTAATAGCAGACTTTCTGACATCTGTCATGGTAACAAGATCACTTGTGTGCACATTATTGCTCTGTTTATAAAGCCAGGATGAGGCAGTCACCACAGTGAAACCTTGAATAATGTGTGTGTTTGATGACAGAAGGTTTTTATGTTGCCGCCTCCCAGGATGAGTCCTTTTCCTCAGTCCTTTCCATTCTACACCAATGATTATTAATTCATTAAGTCTTAATTTGCAACTTTTTGCATTTCTGGACACCCTTATGTTCACATCTCTCTATACTTCAGGATGAGGTGAAACCCATTCAAAAGGCGCATAAACTCCTTTGCATTGAATTATAAAACTGCCCTGTAGACCTCTGTAAGTTGGGAGATGAATTTCACTGTGGTACTGAAAGAAGTTGGTATATGGTGCAAGCAATCACAACTGCTCTTTTCTTTTCCTCTGAGGATTTTTGTTTTGAGTACAAGTACTCTTTCAGTTGTCACGGTGGTTATTAAATATAGAATAATCTGAAGTCTCTTTAGTCTTAGTAAAATATCTGTGTAGACCTGAAAGAATATCTGTGTAGTCCTCAAAGAAGACCAAAGTCATTTAAGATAAAATCAAACAGCCATAAACTAGTTTTTATTAAACTCAATCTAGACAATCTGATTACACTAGAGAAATTCAAAGGAATTGCATTAGAAAAAAATGGACACAAAAATGTTTCTACAGTATTCAGCCTGTGTTCCTGGTGCATTTGCTATGTTGCCTTCAAGCAGTAGAATTACCTTGTGTTGCACTTGAATGCACTTCTTGGTTGCCTCTAGTCCTGAGGAAGTTTTTTCCTGCACCTTTGAGGTCAAGCTGTCTCCTTCTTTCCCTTTAATCTTTCAGTCTTGTTTTGTGAATTGCAGGAAAATTCCCAGTTCTTTGTGTGCACATCCTTTGGCAAGTGATGCACTGCTGTCTCTGGGGTGTTCTTTTCCCTTACAATGCACAGGAGCTCCCCAGGGAAGGAGCGGTCTCATCTTCCCTGCACACTGTCCATCTGGTCGCTTCTCTGAAAGGAACATAGCATAAGTTTGGAATGAGCAAATCAGATGTTCTCATTCACTCTGTAGAAGCACGGGTTTTTTTGTTTGTTTTTTGGGTTTTTTTTGTTTTGTTTTTTGTTTTATTTCTTTGTATGGTTTTTTTTTGTTTTGTTTTTTTACTTATTACTGTTTGTTTGATTTTTTTAAGTACATGTACGCTTTTTGAATTTTTTTAAAGGGATTAAACCTGTTGCCAAATGCTCTTTTGTATGCAGAGCTGTCTTAAAAAGTTATATTTTAGATAAATGGAGCACTGCAAGTGCAGCTGGTATTACCTTTATATATATACACACACATATAAATATAAATAAAGATATCTCAGAAATTCCAATATGTATTATAATCTAATGCTTGGATTAGAAAGATTAGTGTTAATTATAAGTACTTAAAGGAGTTTTTCATGCTGTCCTTATGTGAGAAAACAAAGAGGTGGGTATGAAATGATGAGATAGTTTTGTAAGGAAGGAGGCTAATACTTATTTTGTTTTGTTTGTGAGGAAAGCCTGCTGTGTCGTGGATTAAGACTTGCTTTCTCAGAGATGATAAACTTCAGTTTCTGTGGTTCTGGACAAGTAGTATTAGAGTTCTTTGTTAATCTTGGTGATGTTAAGCAAATTGTTCGCTACGTACATGATAGTGCTCCTTGTTGGATGACTTAATCACTGTTGGCTATGTCCTAGGAGCTGTGTGGATTTTCTCTAGGAGAGTGCTGGTCTTGCATATGGTTTTGTTAAATATTGCAGTACTGATTCTGTTTGAGAAACACGGTTGCCCATCGTAAGAGTTTCCTTGAGAATGACATAATTGTATTCTTGTAGTTGCTATAGGGAAGAGGGCTGTTGAGAGTAAATTCATCTAAACATTGGAAAGACTATTTGATATTGAGTTATTAAAAAAGAGCAACTTAATCCTCTAGTTGTCATGGTTGTTTCCTGTGTTGACAAAAGTTGTTTGCAAGGTGGCTGTTACTGAGTTAGCTTCATTCCTTCTCCTGGGGAGTAGCTGTCATCAGGGATTTTGTGGTAACTGGCCAACATTTGATGCATAGCGTTCGGACAAATTTTCACATGATTTCCTTTGAATTACATATTTTTGTTTGAGTTTTTATTTGTTAATATAAAATTTTTAGGAGGTTTAAAGTATGTTTTCATACAACTGGAATAAATGTCTAGCCCGATTGTTAAAAATGCTCACCCTTCCCTCTTTATTTTGGCAATCAAATACGGATGAAACACAGCCAGATTTTTTCCTCCATTCTGCTTTCCAGGAGCAAAGTGCTTTTATGTGCAGCTCCAAGATTTATTTTATGATCTGAAGCAACAGCAACAAGTTGATATTGTTGGTTAGTAACCCAGTGAAAGACCAAGTCTGACGTAGTAAATATCTGCAGTGCTGCTGTGAAGTTTCCTGCCATTTTACCACCTGCAGTAGCCTCTAATAACCCTGTGCAGGCTCATCCTTTGTCTGCACTGAGCTATCTTGGGCTCGTGGGTCACCACTCCCTACACTTTTAACTCTCTGCTCATGCAGCATGACCCTGGTCTTTGGTATTTGTGTCTCTCCTAAATCTGTATTAATAAGTTATCACAGTGATCTGTCGCACTCAAAAAACCCTGACAGATGTGGCTAGGAAATGCACGTTTCTGAGCGGTAACAATCAAAGAAAGAAAGTCTCTGTGATTGTGTCTTAAAATAGCGCTACCTTATAATCATTTCTGTGTGATAGCAGCAGTGAATTTTTCACCTCCTGGTTTACTTCAGGGTTTTATATTTTTTTTTAAAGAAGATTATGGATACTTTCTGAAAACTCTTTCATGAATTCATAGCATTTCCTGCAAATCATTTGATACTTTTTATGGTTTGTACTGAACAAAGCTGCCTTTACCTAATGTGGTGAGTCACTGAGGCTGTGTAAGGACGCTCTCACCATTTCTCTTACCTCAAAAATTATCAAAGTAATTATATTTCATCTATAAGGCTGATAATTAAAACTAAGCTACTGCCTTTTCTTTGTCATGGTCACCATAGGTAATAATCTAAAAAAAAAAAAAAATTGGGCAACACATTTTTCCCCTAGAAACAGGAAAAATTACTTTTGAGCTGACAGAAATTTTTATTTTATTGTTGTTACTTTTTAATTGGTAAGCTTTGTCTTTTCAGTTATTTTTTCAATATTTAATGGAAATATATTTCTGTAAAGTATAGGGAGAGTACACTGATTACTTACATCCCAGGTACACAAAAGACATTTTAAGGCTAATGAAAGAGCCTTTGAAAATGGTTTAAAATGTGGCTGTGTGGTTGCACAGATGCTTTTAATGAGAGGGAATTTTTTTCATTTTTTTAATGTTTAAACCTTAACTTTGTGATTTTTTCTTTAAACACCCTTGGTTACATCCTGATTGGGAGGAAAAATATATTTAAACTCCCAAGAAAATGCATTGGTTTCCTTTTCTAGTATGCTTACTAGCCTATGTGTTTTCTATAAATAGGGAAACTGTCCTAAGAGGAGCAGACCCTTTATCTGTTCAGTTATCTGTATATAATCCATTGCATTAGAACTAGTCCATCATTAGTTCTGTTCTAATTCTCTTTAAACTGTGTGTGCATGTTACTGTAAGTATTATGTATCTTTAATAGTTACTGATTTAAAACTAGTTACCCAGTGATGCTTTAAATTAATTTTTATGCAAAGCCGCAATAGGATGTTTCAAGCTCAATTACCTTGTAAAAGAAAATCCAGTTTATATCGTTTCAGATTAGAATGTAGATAAGGTTCTACCAGTTGATTGACAGAAGGTGAAGATTACCGCTGCTGAATAATTTGGGTAAAATATTTAATACAGCAGTAATAGATGCTATAGTCAGTGTCTCTGTTACCCTGTGTAAAAAGCATGGGGATAAAGACCAGAATGACTGTATGAGAATAAAACTACAGATCCATAAATCCAGTTATTAAATTAACAAGAAAAGTTTATCTGGTAACTTTGCTGATAAAGATAGGGCTGCCCTAATTTGATTTATCTCAGTGTTTACTGCTTAAATATTGTGTCATTGGAAGTGGTTTCCTAGTAGGGATATGCAGCCTACTCTTCTCACTTGTGTACAAGGGATAGCCTTGGCTAATTGGGTTTGTGCTTCCATCGCAAACAAGTGCTGCCAACAGCTTGACAAGACCACTTCAAATGTTTTTTCTTACCCTCACACTGTTTTTTGGTCACCTCCAAAATTTCTCTGCCTTTGTTCTGTTGCTTCTCTTTCTAGTGATCAAACTTGTGGTTTATCAAGAATTTCAGGCAATAAATAGCCTGAAATTTCATCTGAAGTTCAGATGAAAGTATTAAGAAAAGTGGTTCAAACTTTAACATTGTTACAGAGAAATGCTTAGCAATATTAAATATTCTCAATCTATGAAACCAACTCTGAAATTACTGGTTCTGAATTGGGCCACATTTATTTTTAGAGTAACCATTAATGTTACTAGAAACACTTTGAATAGTTTGTCTCTAGTTTTCTATTTCTTCCCAAAACCCACAGAGGTTTAAAAAAAAGAAATCTTTTCCAAAGTGGTACTGTTTGGACAAAATCAGTAATTTTGACTAGCCTGCAAATTTTAACAAATAAATGCTATATATTTTTATTATATATACTATATTATATATATATAGCGCATATATATATATATGTATTATATATTTATATATATATATATAGCATATATATAAATATATCCTATATATATAATGCTATATATAATGCATAATAAATGCTATATATTTTTATTTTCATGATGATGAGTTCTTTATTCTCTTTTTTGGCCAATGAAATGTTAAAACCCTAAGAAGAGAATCTCTAATGTATTAGATAATCTCCATTTAGTATTTAAGGCTGTGAGTCTGTTTAGAATTTTTAATTTTTAATTGCTAATGGGCATGGAACATTTGTTAGATGAAGGACACAGTCAGTCTGTCTTGGCTGCTGTTTGAAGTGTGCAGTAGGAGATGGCATGAAGAAACTGATTTTGAAGCTGCAATTGAAATACCACTTTAATTTGTCTTTGATTTCATTTAATCCTCCAATTTAGTAACGTTAAAATTGTTTTCCATGGTTGCTTATAGGTCAATAATGACCGACTTGTACTACCTCAGTCAAACAGATGGAGCTGGAGATTGGAGGGAAAAAGAGGCCAAAGATCTAACAGATTTGGTACAGAGAAGAATAACTTATTTACAGGTAAGAGGATACAGCTTTTGATTCAAGGTAAACATTTCTTTCTTCTTATATACATAGCACTTAGCTAAAACCTTGCAATAGGATAATTACATTGCAGTTTAAAATGAATGTTGGTATATGGATGAATTATGTAGAAAAGAAATTATTGCATTTGTTTCAAACATCATTTTATATGTATATGGAAGGTAATATTCCAAGGCACTCATTGGAGCTTGTACTTTTGTTGTTGTTTATTCTGGTTTATTTGTTTCTTTGTTTGTGGGGATTTTTTTGATCTGTAGTTTTTACTGGACTGTACTAACCTGTTTGAATTGTTCACTTTACTGTAAAAGATAGTTAATTCTCTTGAATTTTTTTAAGTTTTATTCTTTAGAGTACCAAAATGCATAAATGTTTGCATAATTTAAAAAATAAAAATATAAAAGTCTTTGTATCAAACTTCTGAGCTAGCAGCCCATTTCTAAAAACAAGGAAGTAAAATTGAAGTGCTTGTATAGTGTATTGTCTAGTTCTAGATTGTTCCAACATCTGTTTGGGATGTCTCTATGTGCTCATATTTTTGAGTGCATAAGGCGTTTTTAATATATGTGCTTGTGTGTGTGTATAAAATTTAAACTTGATCTGAAGGTGTTGGGACTTTTTTTCATGACTGAATGCATGCAGCTATTTATGTAGTGATCAAAAAGATATTTAATGTAGTCTGTTTTATTTGTACTTGGTTTATTTTTTTACAGCATTGTGTGCAGTTGTTTGGTCACTCCTAATACCTGATCTTTTCTCTTGTGTAAATAGCTGAATTTGTTTCTCAGGTTTTCATTATTTCACAGTTGAGCTGTTGGAACCCTTTCTACTGTGACCAAACTAAGTATTTGTTGCTTGTTATATAAAAAAGACACCCTTCTGAGGAAAAAAACCCATCTCCCTAAGTTGTGCAGGAGTCATTACTTTATTGTACTTCTTCAACTCATTTCTGAGAACTGTTCCTTATTTTTTCATTTTGATACTACTGTTTAGCAGTAGTATGCTGTAACTGCTTTTCATGCTGATAAATATAGACTTTCTCTACCTTTTTCTTGTCTTTCACTATCCATTTGCTGTCCTATTTAGTAATATAACTGTGCAAGTCATCAAAAAGAGCACAAAGTTATTTGCTTTAACAAATATGCACCAATATAAAGTGATCAAATGGTTCAAAATTATACACATTTATATACCTCTATTAATAATAAAACTGTATTAAAAAATAAAATATTCAATGACCCCTGCTCTTCAAGTCAATGCCAAAAAGAATTATATGGGACATATTTGTAATTTTTTTTTTAGTTAAGTATGAAAGTACTGCATAGTTTTTTTCTGGTACATGTTGAACAGTGACAGCTGCATTATTTTGGGACATCTCCTTGGGAAGTCATTTAGCTGTATGATTGTGAATAGTGATGACTGCTATTTCATTTGGGTGACATTACCATAAATTTGATTTAATGGTGCTACATGTAGCTAGTTCCCTATAGTTGGAGCAACATTTAACAAGCTAGGATTTGATATTTAAGAAAAAGGCCTTATTTTCAGATATGTTTTTTATCAAACAGTTGAAGAGAATGTGCAAGAGAAGTCAGATGAGAGCACCTTGTAGTACTGTAATCAAGTGAGTAAATGATAAGGCAGCAGTTTTCTGTCCCTTCTCTTTTGTGCTTATTTTTGTTCTGTTTATTTTAGGAAGTTTGTGATTCAGTATGCAGTCTAGCAATAGCAGAGTATTTTTGCCTCTGATTTAAAAAAAAAACCCAACTTTTTGTTCAGCTTTGAAGGTTAAAAATATAATCAGGTGAGAAAGGCTTCTAAGTACTCAGCAACACAACAATTATATTAGTCATAGTTTGCCATATTCTAGTCCTATTCTGCAATACTATTTAGCTGGGACTTTGTATGCATGCAAAGAAGAGAAAGTTGGTCACAAGACTTTTTCTGAGCTTTCGGGAGTTTGCAGTATTTTTGTTCATTTAATGTCACTTAGATTTTTCTGTTGTAGAGTGTATTAAATCCTCTCCCTCACATTAAAGTTACTGATTGATATTTTTAATAAAAGTGCTCATGCTAAAATGACAACAATAAGAAAAGGCTCTGGGCACTTTGCATACATGCAAAGGGATGCACCCCTAACAGCTGTAATTAATCAAATCAAAAGTATATTATATGGTTTTGGTATAATAGCCACCTAAGAAAGTGTGGTCACTGCTGATATCTGTGTGAGGTTTTCTCTAGGATTGAGGAACACAGCGTGTTTAAGTCCATCTGCATGCTGGGATGTTTCACTCCAGCTGAAACTTGCGTGTCGTAGGAGGGTAGGAGCAAACTAGAGGAATTAACATTAGAGGAAGGTTTGAGATCTCTGTCTCTCAAATCAAATATCTGCTATTTCTGACTAGGGAGAGAATGTTTTCTTCCAGCAGCTGGAAGAAACTTCTGATGGTTTGTTTGGTTTTTTAGTTTCTTTCTTTGGATTTTTTCTGCCCCCAAAGTCTTGAGGGGAGCTGGTATGAAAAGAAAGGATTACAAATGACATCACAAAGGAAGGGGAATAGAAGATGGTATGAATTGCATTTGTGATAACTAGGATGAGAAACACCCATTTTTGTCATATTTCTCTAAAAAAAATGAGATTTTCCAAAGTTTCGAAGTTCCAGTGTTTTTAGTTACATTGTTCATAGAAGTTATTCTGAGGAAGATAAAAGGTGTAAACTCTGGAACAGGTTGATGATCTAATCTTCTCTATATTAAACGATGTTTAGCTTGGTAAATTTTTTTGTTTGTTTGGGATTTTGTGTGAGTTTGTTTAATTTTTGTTTGGATTTTTCTGGTATTTGTTTTTACTGCAGTTATATGGCTGTTACTTTACAGGGCTTGACATTCGTGGAGGTCCCTTTCATCTCTCTCTTGATTATGTAGATCATTAAATTGGAGATAGGAGTGTGATGAGCAGTGTCGTTAGGGTTGAGAACAGAATGTACTACCCATTCAAATCAGGGATTTATAACCTTCTTCTGTGACTTTTGTGCCAGGAGGAAAACTCTTTTGTCAGTCTTAATTGGTTTTGAAATTGACTGTTATCCTTTATCAGCTCAATACTTTGACTGGTTGCTTTAGATGGCAGTTTTGGTTATGAACACCCAAGCTATTCTGATGCATGAAATATAACTTTTCTTCCTTACCAATGGATGATATTTCCACTTTTTCCTGGAAACATCAGTTGAAATGGCAATATAGCCAAGTATCTCTACTTCCCTTTTTCTTTTAAAATTCTCAATAGACAATTGAAGCTCAAATACTGCTTTGCCTTTTTGCTACTTGAGTATATAAATTTGAAAAAAACTCACAGTCATAAAGAAATTAATTAAATAGCTTCCTTTTTAAGTCACAAAGTAATACTAATAGATATAGTTTTTAGTTAAGTCTACAAATAATGATAAAACCCAAGTAGGTGCATCATATTAATATTGGTAAGCAGTCACACGATCAAATTATGTTTCATTGTGTGATTACTACTTGATTTCCATAATACTGTTCATAAGCTATTATATGAAGCTTGCATTTGCATGAAAGAAAGTGATAAAGGCACACCTTGACAATACTTGAAATATGCCATTGATTAAATGCTTTCATTTTAGAGGACACAAGCATTTGGAGGTAATGGCAAGTGTAGAAAACATAATCTAAGGGCATTTTCTAAAAAATTCACGGAGATTATCCCTTTCAAAAAGAATAGTGTTGTGGCTTTACCCAAGCTGGCACCAAAGTACTCCCCATGACACCCACTCCTCCTCCTCCCTGGTGGGACAGGGAGGAGAATCAATGGAAAAAATCCTCAAACATACAAAAAACCCACAAAGAAACTCCATTGTGGGTTGACATAAGAACAGCTTAATAACTCAAACTGAGCAAATATAATATCAATGACAACAGTAATAATAAAAATATAATACTGCTGATAGTAATGATATGAGGAGGTGTTTTTTCATGGAGATCTTTCTGTGTGGGCTTGTAGAGAATACTAGAAAAGCCCTTTTCTTTTCTGAAAGACTGTGGGAAATACATTTGTTGTAATTTCAAAGATAACTGTTTGGTTTAGTCTCAAGTTATCCATTAGATTTGTAATGACAAAAGTACTGGTCTGAGAAACAGAAATTTGGAATGTAAATTTAATATAATTTATTATTTTCACACCTAGTTAGGCTTTGAATCAGGTGTATTTAAAATAAAAAAAAAAATACTGAAGTTATAGCACATGTTGTAGAGTTTTGGGTTTGTTTTGTTTTGGATGTTTTATTATTTCCCCCCCCCCAGTCTGAATTGTTTTCTCCTCCTTTATACCACCAAAAGCACAAATTAATTTTCTTTGAAAGTATTTTAGGATTCAGAATGTTCAGATTATCTTTAAGAGCACTTGAAGGAGAGATCTCAGTGCTCCAGACAGGGATCACTGTTTTTTTAAGATTTGATTTTATTGTTGCAAATTTACAGAAAATTGTATTTAAAGTTGTTTAGGTGTGAAAGAAACAGAATTTATATTGATGCTCAAATATCAGTATTTTTGCAACTTATCTGAAACTTTCATCCTAGAGATGTTATGGAAGACCTTTCTGGAATTTAGAAGTGTGTCTAGAGCCATGCAAGTATGAATACATACAAAAAAAGTACTCTCTTTTATGTAATGGAAGACTTCTGTTGATTATGATGTTGTATTGTCCACATACCTAAAAATTCCAGATACATAAAAATATTTATTAGTTTGTACTTTTAAACATAGCATTCATACAGTGTGGGCATTTGTCTCCTAACTTGTGGTTTCTTGGTTTCTGGAAGTGAAGTATGTTATTTTATGTAAAGTGTATGCAGATTAAAATTTTGTCCTTTATCAGTCTGCTGAATGTGTTTTACATTCTGTGTTTACTATGTGGTTAGTTAGCCTGGGAAGCAGTTCCTTAATAAGCATTTCTTTTATTCTGTACCATTTGTTTTATTCTGTACCATTTGTTTTATTCTGTACATTGTAGACAGGTGGAAATTTTCTTTTATTGGATGACATGCATGTTTATTGAAAGACAACTAAAAAATTTGAAAAAATGCCAAAGGAAAAAGCATTCCAACACTGAGAATCATGTTGATGAAATGTGAATTCAGAGTCCAAATGTTGGCTTATACTGACAGATCTACAAATGAGGAAGTAATTTAAAATCTTGAATGTATTCTATTGTACATTGGGATAGTGAAGAACGTTCAATAACTGCTCATGTTCACAGTGAAGAATTCTCGTAAAATTTTCATGGAGCTGAAGCTTACTCATCCATTTTAATCGGAGATGTATTATAGTGGGATGGCTTCTGTGATTTATGACATTTGCCAGTTTTTCAGAAAAATGCAAGCCTTTGGTGTATATTCTCTTCAGCTCCACTTTTTCATCTGTCCTCACAGAACCCGAAGGATTGCAGCAAAGCTAAGAAACTTGTGTGTAACATCAACAAAGGCTGTGGCTACGGCTGCCAGCTTCACCACGTGGTGTATTGCTTCATGATCGCGTACGGCACCCAGCGCACGCTCATCCTGGAGTCGCAGAACTGGCGCTACGCCACCGGCGGCTGGGAGACCGTGTTCCGGCCCGTCAGCGAGACCTGCACCGACAGAGCGGGCTCCACCACTGGCCACTGGTCAGGTAAGGCTTCACCACTCACAGCATTTCTCCTGGCTTTTGGCAGCGCCATTCCCACAGAATTAATTTGTTGTCTCTTCCATGTTGTGTGGAGCATGATGACTATGACTGCAGTTGTGCGTGTAAGCGCCTTTTACATCTTGTCTGTTGTATTGAAAGAAGTTCCTTGATAAGATAGCTCTGCATTGGCAGAGTTTTTTTTAAATAGAAAAGCTTTTTATTTGAGATTTAAATTAAAATTTTTCAGCAGGCTGCTGCTGTTTTCTCTGCTAGGTATTAATCTAATTTTCATGGGAAGAGCATGTTCAGTAGAGGCTGTTGTTAATAAACTCTTCAAAAAATGAGGGATGTTGCCAATATTAAGCAATAGAAATACAAAAGAAATACTATCCAATAGTCATTCGCACCTCAACAAAATAAAGAAATAATTGAAATAATTCCCAATGCACGTTGAGCAGATCCAAAATTCATGTTGTAAAAACAATGACAATGTTAAATATTAATTTTATTTGTACATCAGCAAGTTGTTCCATTCTTATATCATGTGGAGCAATTTGCCTAGAATAAGTGGATGGGCACTGATGTTTGGAAGATCAGCTAGCTTTGTTTGTGTGAAAGTAAACAATATTTGTTTTAAATGACATCTTTCTCCATGTGATTGGTAGTCAAAACATACCAACATTTTATTCTTTTCACTAGGACATTGCATACCCAGTGCATATGGAATCTTAAAGTAACTATTAAAGTTTTACAGGTCTGAAATTACCTTAATTAGATTTACAAAATCCAGTTTACAGAGTGCATGTAAACTTGCATGTTTACACATTAAAACAGTGTTTGCACATTGAAATAGCATCTGTTCTTCAGAGCTTCAAGATGCTGCAGAGCTTAGCTTTGAGAATTCTAGTGGGTTTTGTGAATGGGATTTTTTTTTTGCAAAAAAAAATATTTCTTAGAAATGGTTGGATATTTTTTAAAAACAACTATAAATGGACAACAGATATTGAGAACTCCAGATGAAGTTTTATTTGTGTTTGGCGAGGTTAGTAAGTGAAACTACAGCCTGGACATGGCTCTCAGCGGACTCCTCTATGTGACTCCAGAATTTAGATGCAGGCAGTTTTTTGAGCAACTTCTGAATACAGTAAGCTGGAAAACAGCGCAGTCATGCACACGTGGCTTCAAAAGATACTATACTTTCACAAAAAACTATTTAAATAGATCACGATTTCCTGTAATGTGGGCTCTTGCTGATGAAAATACAAATAATGCTTCATTTTAGGTCCCCACGTTTTGTTTGAGGGTTTTTGTTTTTTTTGGGGGGGTTGTTGTTTTTGCTTTTCCTTTTTAATTAGTTTCTAGATCAGGATGAATAATTTGAAGGCTGAGCACATGAAATACCCTGATGCAATCAATTATTTTAAAAATATTGAATGCCACTAATATAAGTTTTGATATTCTAGAGCTAGGGGACATTGAGGGATGATAAACAATCTTTATATAGTCAGCCTGTTGGCCAGCCACACATGCTATAAACTGTGTTAAACTCTGATTTTGTGCAATGCTTGGTCAGTGAAGATGAATGATACAAGCAAGCTCTTCACTATCCTCAGTGTGGCTTCAGTAGGAGTCTTCACTGGATTCTTAATTGCTGCTAAATTTTAAAGACAGTGCATCTTGCTGAAGATTTCTGTGTGCTTTTTATGTCTCCCTAAATCTATATAGATTTTTATTTACTTGTATATCAGTTTATTTCTTCCCTGTTTTTTTTTTCAGGGATATATAAGTCTGAAAGTCTTAACTGTAGTTAGGAGTGGTTTGTTTACAAAACCACACCTTAAATTTTTTTTTCTCTACAAATTCTGAAGCCAGCATGGGATTTTCTAGATTTTCAAAATTAATGTATGAAAATGCATTGACATTTATCAAATTTCACTTTTCATAAACTAAACATTTCTCCTATGTAGTGTAGGGATTTTTAAATATTTTTAAATTATGTTTCAAAAATATTCATACAAGTGAATAATTTTAGCAAGTGTTCATTGTAAATGATGGAAATAGGCCAACAAGCCAGAAAAATATATCTATCCTCTAAGAGAGATGCTTTCATGTAATTTGCAGACCTGAATAGATAATAATTTAGTAAAATGTCCTTCATGACAAAATTGTTTAAATTTGTACATCTATCTTTCCTCTTTTTAATTCAGTTGCTCCTGCTTGACATTTTTTAGTTTTATTCACAGCATAAAATGTTGCAGTTTCTGAACTTTATCTTCAGTGAAACAATTTAGATCGCGGTATCTTCTCCAAAGAATTAAGAGACTTATATAAGCTAAGAATACATATAGTTCTAGAACTTTCTTTGTCTAGTCCTCTCCTAACTAGTTATAAAAACTAAACTTGTTTTTGGAATTTGGGAAGTAGAGTGAATTTTAATGAGAAAGCTGATTTTTGCCTGATAGCAGAAGATTAATAAGATCTCATCTGAGAAGAATTGAGGGTCAGCTCAGCCCATATCATGTCTTGCAGGAATTGTTCTTCATGTTTGACATGGTAGTTCTGGCATCAGGTTCAGCTTTTCTGGCTTAAACGTACTAAATGGTTGAGAATTCTATTGCAGACTTCTCTAAATACAGCAGTTATTTTACACTCTGGCATAAGTTTTCCTTGTCCTTTGTTTCACTCATTCTGTCATTCTAGAGAAAAACATCTTAGGAGATGGTTGTATATATGCTCTTTTTAGTTCTAACATTATATATTGCCTGTAATTGCATCTTTCTTGTAGTTTTTTTCCTTTGATATCTATGGTCAAACTGTTCATGAATAATTTAGGTAGGAATTTTTATAAGAAGTATGAATGATTTACTAGTAATAAGAGCCAAAACATAAAGAACTTTTGAAGACATATTTATCATTAAATTTTTAATTAATTTTCTTTAAATTAATTAGTTAGCCAGGTCATAATGTTCTGTTATCATTGCTGCATGCTAGAACAGAGCCTCTTCTTATCATTTTTTACTTGCTGATTTATGACATTATGGTGGCATTCCCCAATAATAAATTGAAAGGGATCCATAAAATAACTGGACAAAAAAAATCATAAAATAAATGAAAAAACAGATTAACAGGAAGGACAGATTAATGTACTTATATTGTATTATATTGGTATGTTAGAAGTCACATCTGCATTCCAGGCTGGAGAATGAAGGGATGTGGAGGTAATGAAGCTATCTACATGCTTTAAATAACAGTATGTGCTCCTTCCCATAAGGCCTAAAAACCTTAAAGATGAAAGATAACTTGAAAAAGGAAACCTGAAACGCAGTTTCCTGCAGTTATCCTTGAATATTGATTTTGCTGCCTCTAACTATGGTTTGATGAATTAATGCTTTTGAGGAAGGGATACCCAGAGGGGAGAAAATGGCAGAGCTCTTCATTTGTTGGTAGTGCCAGCTTTTAAGTATTAATTGAACTACAATCTTAAAATATGAATTAACTAATATGTTTATATGTATAATTCAAGAACGAGGATACTGTGGGTACACAAAATGAATGTTTAATTTATTAAAGACTATCTGGCAACAGTAATCAAAAGGACTAAATAAAAATTGCAAAATCAAACCATAAAAATTGTACAGAACTAATTGCAATAAATTAAAAAGTTTCACTCCATGAACTAGATATTCCTTGACAGTAGTTTCTTATGAAAATCAGCTGAATATTCAGTATTGGCCTAAAAAAGCCTTTAACTTGCGTACAGTTGTAGGAATTATGTTTTCCTCCCATGTCTCGCTCTTATTTATAAAAACTTGCAGGAAAAATGGATTCATTTCTAGTTCTGATTCTTAACATTGCTTTTATGCAGTGACTTTCATTAATTAAATTTTAATTCAAACAAGTTCCAATTCTGTGAAGCAAACTGGAGAATGGCGATTTGAGAGAACAGAGTGTAACAGCAGCCCCTCTGAATTTTCCCTTTTTTTCAATTGTGTTACTCTTGAAATCAGGCTACTGATATTGTGTAGATTTTTTTGTCCTCGAGGTGCCTTGTAAGATACTCTATGTAAAGACATTTGTCTGTGTAAACACATAAATATATTTAGGAAGTGGAAACTCTTTAAAGGACTTTGGAATTCTAATGAGGTAGGTCTGAGTTTTCAGAGCAATGCAGTAGCCTAAAAATGCTACGTGTGATCCTTATTCAAGTCTAAGTGGAAGGTTATTGAATAATAGCAAGAAGTTATTTTCACTGTGCAGAGCAAAGACAGGCTGCAAGACACTGTCTGCTTCTGTTATCTGGCCTTCAAAATGAATATTGATATATATGAAAGGATTCTGAGAAAGACCTACACTGATTCAAGGACATAAAAATCTGCTTTACAGTAGGATATTAAAAACCCTAATTAAGTTCTAAAATAAAGCAAGTTTTAAAAGCTGGTCCTGCCACATTTTATAGGTGTTTCTATATGGGGGAAGTATTTCTACTTTTAGACAAAGATGTGGCTGGACAATTTTAATTAGAGATGAGGTCTGCTTTTTAACAACAACTCGCTGCTGCTGTTGACCTCAATTATGGCAACTGGTCCAGAAGGAGAAAAACAAAAAAAATTGCATGATCTGAAATTGGAATTACAGAAGTTGCAGTCTTTCCTTGTAACTAGCTTTATTTCTTTTGAGGATTTTTAACAGAGAAGAATGTTTGCCTTTGATTTTTGAATGGGTTTGGGTTTTTTTAATTTTTTTTTTTGCTTTGTAGTGATACTTTGAATATTGGCTTACGGCTTGTGTCATGAAGTTCACTTGTGCAGTCCCAGATCTGCCATACTAAACTAAATTAATTTGTATTTTAAGGAGATGGTCATAAAATACATCTGTGTGTTCTTTCATGCTATAATCAATCAAGCCAAATTGATCCTAATTAAGCCATTTATGTGGCCTAAATGTACCATTGGTTCTCTTCTAATTATATGAGGAATTTCATCAAATCTATTCTTGATGAATAA